ACGGTGAGACGGACGTGTAGTTCAGTTTTGGGCACGCGTACGGTGCTGCAGGGATTATATATAGGTGTAGTAGTACCTCTTCGGGCTCTTGTACACCTTTTTCTTGCTACGTGTGCGTGTTCTTTAGATCCTCAGATGGCTCCAGCACTTTCGTGACCACGGGCCGAGAGTCTTTGCTAGATTTTGGCATTTAGCAACTGGCATACGGTTTAATGTGAAGTCAACAACAACAACAACAACAACATACAATGAGTAGTCAACAATCAAGATCGATGGGCAAACCCTGACGAGACAAGTTCAACATGTGACCCAAGATACTACACCACCTAGAGACTTGCTTGTAGCTCGAACTCGACGAAGAGATGCATACAGCAGTACATGAGACAACATGAAACGATCGATATGTGTTCGGAAAGCTGTCGACGAAACGTTTTCAACGCCGCCGTTTTCGGTGCTGCCACTATTTCTGCTCTGTGGAGAAATCGAGCTTCGACCATCGGTCCAAATTTGTGGTACCACTTGTACTAACGTTGTTCCGTAAGGATATTGGTACTGGTGTCCCCATGGTACGCATAACTCGGGCCTCGCGGTTCATGGCTGCGGGAGGCTGAGGCTCATTGTTGGGGCGTTGGCGTGTGTTGCGCTGCTATGTGAGGGTGTACTGGAATGTCGGGGTGCGCGAGCGTACACGTCATCGATAAAGCTTCACACAGCGGTCCCATCTTTCAGAGGGCAAGCAATACATCACACGCACCTTTTCGCTGCTGCGTACGTGGGGTCCAACCAGTCGGAAGCGTACCAATAAAGCTAGCCTATCGTGGTTGTGTCCTCGCAGCGTGACACCCAGGCATCATCCGCAGCTTTGTGTAGTTGATCGCACCGCTCTTTTTCGTCGGAAATCGGCTCAATTGGTTTTCATCCCCGCCCCCCTTGTCTATACGCCTCTTTGAAGACATTCCGTGGTATGAGATCAAACGAGCAAACCCTGTGGACAAAACTAGGTTCACCCCTGCGCAACAGCTGGCTACGACGGGGTCCGAACAGGCAGCATGCTCAGCCGGCTCAAGGTGCGGCATGAGTTCTTCGAGGCTGGCTTGCTGGCGTGTACCGTTATGGACTGGTAGTGCGTGTATGGGGTGTACGAAGACCCTCAAAAACCTTCCCGTCTTTGGCCCGTGGGGCTTTCGCTTAAAAAAAATATGTTTGGTTGGAGACTGAAAAGGGGCGAGCCGCCGGGATCACCGAGAGGTTGGCGATGGGTCCACGCCGAAGCAGACAGTTCCTCGTAGGTCTTCCCACTCTCCGGGACACGTGGATTTTCTTCGGCAGGTGTGTGTTGCATGTCTGGCCGGTGCCGCACCGTCGTCGATTTTCATCGGGGACGGAATGCGCCTATGTTTGCTACAGCTACCTGTAGCTGTTGAAGGAGGCTGGACCAGAAAAGATTGCCACTTTGACGAAAGGGCGCGTCCCCGCCTACAACCACGCCGTCCTCAGCCACGTGGGGTGCATGGTCAGTCAGAGACGTTCGGTTCTTCCCCCGTTTATCTCTTCACATGAGGCTCTGAATGCGTTCATGTTTCGCGACGACACCTGCAAGTTGCGTGTTTGGTCCTTCCAGCGGCGCGGGGGTTGTGTGATGTGCTTGACGTCATCGACATGTGTGGGCCGCTCTTTTTCCCTCTTGCGTGCGAAACGACATGTATACTATATATCCAACACAACATGACAGAGAGGCAACCACGACGCGCGAATCCAACAAAATTGTTTGGTTTTGTTGGTCACAGGGTGAGGACGGGGCGTCACGGGTGCACCTGGCTCTTGGCGCTTTCTCCTGTGTGCATGTGCTGTTGTGTCGGGAAACCAAGCCGTGGTCGGCTCTACTGGTCGATTTTGAAAATCTGTTCGGCGAGGAAAGAAGAGTGACGCCTATGACAGCGCCGCCTGCTTGCTGCGCCCCCACATGCAACAGATGTTGACGGTTTTATCATCCGCGCGCGAATGTGTTCACCCACCCCAGGCACTTTCGATTACGCATCCAAGAGCCACACTCGACTGACTTGGTTGTCCGCACCCCCTTTGTTTTGGTAGAGGCTTGTGAGCTGTTCACTCTCGTCGTTCTGTGCCGAATTATTTTCTAGGCCACACACGCACACGGCGGCGGGTGTGTGTATATATAGACATACCGAATGTCTTCTTATTTGATCAATTTGATCCCAAATTACTTGCCGGGTGGAAATGGGCGACCTTTCAGCGTGTGTGACGCCACATCGAAACGGTCTGTGCCTGTTTATTTTACCGCTGAGAGCAGCAGCAGCAGCATTGGCAGCACCAGTACGACGCTTCTTCCCTGTGCGCTGCTTACCGAACGCTGCAACACCCCACGTAGAATCAGCTGTCGTGCGAGTGTTGCACCTTGCCACGGGAAGACAGAGCTCCGTTCAGGTTTCCAGAAGATCCACGGATCCGCCAACCAAAACCCCCAACGCAGGCATTGTTTGGAACGGAAGGAAGTCCCGGAACACTAACCAAAACTGCTGCTGCTGCAATGTGCCATTGGCACGACCAAGCTTGGCCCGAGCCGCCTCTCTCACTGTCATTAAAAAAATTGGTTCTGCTGCTGTTTTCTGGGTATGGCTTTGGCCGACCAGTGAGCCACGTGGGTTGGCCTTACAGAGGCTACAGCATCTGTATAGTCTATATATATATACAAGGGCTTCGCG